CGGGGAAAGAGTTGGGAAAGAGCTTTTACAGTGTGTGCCCATACACGTTGCACGCTCGCATCTCGCCCTAGGAGGGTGGCAGGTATTCCTGCTGACTCCTCTTGGCTCCTGTCCCACCTCGGGGCAGCCGGAGTCTCCCGACAATTTATCATGAATTAAGCATCCCTGCCCCTGTGCTCTCCTTCACCCTCCACTTGCCTTTCAGAGGAATACACCGGCCTTGTGCCTCTGGGCTGCAATTTAACTGCAGCTCGTGCTGCAGCCGCAGAGAGATGCTCAGCGCTGTGAAATACAGCATTGCTTTTTTTTTTTCTTTTTTTTTTTTTTTTCCCCCAAATGGCCCTGGGCAGAGCAGCCACGGTGAAGCTCTGTACAAGGTGTGTGTCCTCCGGCCTTGTATTTCAGAGGTGGATGGGGGTGACCTCTCGACATCTGGCTGTTTCTTGGGGGATCCTGGTCTCAGCCTTCAGCAGCTGTTTTGCTGCGGATGCTGCTCCAGCCTGCAGCATGCCTGCGTTTCTCCAGGACACGAGTTCTGGGGTAACACATCATATTTTTGTCTTTCTGAGTGCCCAAAGAGGATGAGCTCAGGCAGTCTGCTTCTTTCTGACACAGAATCCTAGAATCATAAAGGTTGGAAAAGCCCTTCAAGATCATCAGGTCTAACCATCCCCTACCACCAGTGTCACCCACTAACCCATGTCCCTAAGCACCAGGTCCAACCTTTCCTTCAACACCCCCAGGGACGGTGACTCCAAAATGAGCCCCTCCGTAGCATCTCCAGGCTGACCACATCCTAAGAATTTGGGTCTTTACATGCCAACAACTCTGCAAGGAAAGGAAGTGTTAATGCAGAGGCATGGGAGACTGTGGTCTAGCAAGCCCAAAGGACTTGGGGATTTACGTAGTTATCCCAGCAGTGGAAGTCCAGAGAACAATTTGTGAGACAATAAAGTGTTTGAGACATTTTTGGAAACATCATCTGTGTCTGTATTACTTAAAACAGTTATTGTTCATCTTTCCTTCCCTGCCTCCCCAGCTCACCTGGGAGGGAGATTTACTCCGTGGTTTATCACCCGTAACTCTCCTTGGTTGGCTCCGGTTTGCATCTGAACTACAAACAAGCACTTCATAATAACCACAGAGATTAAACTCTGACGGACTCTCCGACCATTAACCTGAAGGAAACGCAACAATAAATTCAACGTATTAATGAAGCTGTGCTACAGGCTCTGAATTTGTTAGGTAAATTGTACAGTTATTAACAGTGAGCCCGACTCACTGCCATCCATCTGTCGGAGGTGCCGCGTGGGGATGGATCGTTCTCCATCCCACAGCCTGCACCAGGCTGTGGTCAGTGTGGAGAGCGAAAGAGAGAACATTATTCCAGTGCAGTCTGCAGGAATCACCTTTTTTTCTCCCCAAATTTAATCTGTGTAGCTCCTTCTGGTTTTCTACTAGGAGAGGAGCATCCGTGTGTCATGGTGGGTCCACTGTATGTCACGGTTCTTGTCTGGTTAACCAGGTAGTTATTCTTAGACCAAATACCTGAAGGGTGATTTCATCCAGGTAGATTTCATCCAGGTAGATTCATCCTGTCCCCACTGAATAATCTGTAAGGTGTTGTCAGGCGATCCCTGTAAAAGGAGCAGGTGGTGGGGGGGCAGACATCTCAAAAAGGGAGCTTTGGATGGTGGTACCATTTTCATGGCTGTGTTATCTTCATCCTTACCAGAAAAAAAGGGGCAATTGCAGGCTGCTGGTGCTGAAAGGTTTCTCTTCCTTCTTTCTTCTCCACACTTGAAGCTGATTATCTCAATTTCTCCCCATCTTCTCTAAACAGCCCCAGTTCCTTCTGCCTTACCATATAATCTGGGGTCTTCCATGAACCTTGTCCTCCCCAGATGGCCTCCTGAAGTGCCCCACTTGTGGCCTCAGCCATCCCAAAAGGCAGCTGGGCTGTGCCAGCTGCTCACACGTTCAGGTACCTCTTGTCCCTGCACATGATGTATGCCAACCCTCCTACCTCTGTCCTGCAGGATTACTGGGTCTGTGCTTCCCTTGTCTGCCTCCATGCCCTCCATTATTCCAGCCCGAGAATATTTGTCCTGCGTGAATTCAATCCTTTTGTATTTTTTTTTCCTAAGCTATTTATTTAATTCATCCTGATCATTTTATTTTTCCAAGCCTATGCTTTCATTCTAGGCATTCGGGTACATATCAACTGGTGCCAGCCCAAGCACAACAGCACGTGCCTTTCCCCAGCTCCCAGTAAGTGATGCACCCTAAAAAGCCCTTGGGTTGCCCTGCAGCAGCTCTGGACCTATCTATTTGTAAATGAGGCATTGAATTCCCAGAAGTAAAAGGTGGGTGATGTCTCTTGGAGGTACACCTGCACCTCCTTGCAAGGAGCACTCCCTCTCTCATCACCATCCTCTTATATCATCCTTATAGCATCCAGGACTTGGGCAGAATGAATCTCCCAGGAATTGCAGGGCCACGGACACACAAAATCAGGATGGTTTGGATGCAGGAAGGTGGATCTGGGCCCTGCATAGCCATTGGGAGTTTCCCACAGCCAGGTGCCAAATGCCTTTGGAAGCGTTGATCGCATAACGTGGCATTGATTTTTCTTTTAAGGGCTCTGTTGCTCCCCTCCCAGGTGCCAGGCGGTCTTGCCTTGGAATTTTTCCATGCAAGGAGGATTTTCAGAATGATTTTTTCCCATGTTTTTGAGTATTTGCACATCGGTTGATTTGGGTGTCGGTATTTTTTTGTACCTATGGTTTTGCTGGGCTTAACAGCCAGCTTTTATACCCCTGTCCTCTCTGAGATGTAATTAAACTGCTCCCCTTACACCTCCTAACAGGGATTCTCCCTTTTTACTCAAGTGGTAGATGTCTCTGCATTTAAATCATGATTTTTTTTATTATTTTCATTTTTTTTCCGGGGAGAGTCTGACAGCTGGGAAGTGCTAGGTGGCTTCAGCTTTATAATTACCTCTGTCTGTCTTATACGTTCATGCACACACACACGTGCAGCTGAAGGGGAAGCAGTGAATGCAAGCAACAGCTGGATCCCGGTCTGTGACAAGGCAGGAGGAATTGTGTTTTTTTTTTTTAAGCATCTTTTTATGTACATCCCCGCGCTGTTCTTCCCAGCTCGAGCATCACAAGAATGAATAATCTCTGAAATGCTCAGCCTATTTGGAAAAAAAAAAAAAAAAGTGGAAGTTTGCTGAAGATTGTTTCTGCCTGTGCAGAAGTAATGCCTGGGGATCGTGTCTCCCGGAATAATTGCCCAGGGGCTGGGCTGGTTGGGATGCATGTGAGGAGAGTGCCTTCAAGTTAATCCTCGTGGCAGGCAAAGCAGAGCAGCACTGGAAGCAGCTGGAGTAGGAATTGAAACAGGAATGTGCTCCTTGCAGCTAACTTTTGCATGCCACTTTTTCTTGTTCCGCCGTACCCCTTGCACTCCGTGATTATTTCCCAATTTGATCCAGGCTAACCCCAAAACGCCCAAGCGGTTTTCTATGACAAAGACCCTGCAGTTTTCCATCTTCAGGCACGTGTCCTGCTTAGGGATGTCTGCCAGCCACAGTGACTGATCCCTGTGGCTGTCTGGGCAGGGAAAAAAGGGGTGAGATGCTGCGAACGAGGCCTTTCCCCATCAACCTGTGGTCCCCGGGACGAGCTGCGGTGGGGCGAGGTTTGGAGAGGCCTCAGCTCGCCGCCTGTTTCCTTTTCCTTTTAATGTGTTTGCTCTCTAATGTGTGTTGACACAGTAAATACACATGTTTGTACAAACATCCCAGCAGAGGGCTGCTTTGAAAGCCCCTCGCAGGGGATGGGAAATGTGCACGGCAGATGTTGGGAGGCGACCAGCAGCCCCGGTACGCGCCGCTTCTGCTGGTAGGGCTGGAAAATGTCCCCATCAGGAGGAATTTGATGGGACAGCCCGAGCCAGGGGATGCTTTTGTGAGCGGGGCAGCAAGGAGCTTGGCCATAAGTAGGTTCTTCTGTGGCTGCTTCGTGTGTTTTTGCACCTAAAGCTGTGCTTATGGTTGCCCTCACCATTTTAATTCCAAGCCTAAAGTGCAGAAGCCAGGGTCATGGAGGCCTGAAAATGGGTTAAGGTGTGTTAAAGGCTGACCCCATCATGATGCAAAACTCGGTGAGCTGCAGATGAAGCCCATACAGTTTCACTATTGAAATTCCAACACTATGAAGCTGGTTAAATCCTTCGTTGTGTATGAATAAGATGCCTCAGTACCAGCTGAAACCTGCCCATGGTTTAAGCTTATGTCAAGCAAGGTGGAAATGTTTTTAGAGAGTACAGAGGATGTGACACAGACTTCTCTGGTTAAACGCATACCCTCAGGATCGGATACTCTCACTATTCCCAGCTGATTAACACTCTTTTTACTCTTGATATACCGTGAGCTGGCCTCCTTGCTCGACTGCAGCAGTGTGATATAACTGGGAAACCACGAGTTCATGGGAAATTTCGACTAGGATAAGGTTTGTGTGTGTGCAAAAGGGGTGGTAGTTGCAAAACCATTGTGCTTTTCCTTTGTTTCCTATTGCCAGTACTGCAGAAATCGCAACCCATGGTAGTCCTTATACCTGCAAGATGCCCAGTGGGTTGTTTTCTGCTCACCCTAAAGAACCAGCAGCTCTAGGTCTGCAGCTCTTCCATCTCTGCATGGGTTGGTTCAGAAGTGTCCGGTAGCGTAGGATCCCAAGAAAGACAGAGATCAAGGTCTCTCCAACCCAGCTCTTTTAGTACGACACGTTCAGCAAACAAACTCTGCCCTCAAAATGAAGCATTCCTGTAATAAACCATCTACACGCCTTTTCCCCTGTGGGCAGCAAGGAAAGGGTGAAGGGCCCATCTGTGGGAGATGCCAGACAGCCACTCAGGCTGAAATTTGTCTCACCTGGTGTCAGTCATCAGCGCTGAACCGAAATGAGTCGCCGTTTGTAGATAATGGAGAGAGACTGGCATCACCTGAAAGCAATTCACTCCGTCTGCCCGAGACACCTATTTAGGATGGCACCAGCAGCCCTGTGGTGAAACCTGTCTCTTCCCATTGACTGGAGGGAAAGCCTGCCTGACTCATTAGGTGAGATGTCTAATTCTCAGGAAGACCATGTTGAACAAGATGAATTCTTTGCCTGGAAGGCACACGGGTTGCTGGTGACAGGAAGGCATCTCTGGAGCCAGGCAGAGAGGAGCTGCTCAGTCCTCATCTATTTGCTTGCAGGTTGGCTTAGGTTGCCTATCCCCAGCCTTTACATCCCTAAATATCTTTTTTTGGGTCCAGAAGTGACACCTTGTGTCATGGTTTGGAGAATAGATGAGGCTATTAGAGAGAAACACCAGGGCTGCACAGCTTCTGCATCACTCCATCCTCAGCTCCTTCCCCATGCTGCTTGGACTTTTCAAAGAAAGGAGATTTCACTCTTCTCCTTTTACAGATGGGACTATTGAGGCACAAAATGGGATGAGCTGTAGCCAAAGGCACTCATGGGACTTGCATAGGGCTTCTCCTCCTGGTGAAGAAAGGCTGAGAGAGCCAGGGGTGTTCATCCTGGAGAAGAGAAGGCTCTGGGGAGACCTTTTTGCAGCCTTCAGTACTTACAAGGGGCTTAAAGGAAAGATGAGGAGAGACTTTTCACACAGGCAGATGGTGATAGGACAAGGGGGAGGGGGGTTTTAAAGTAAAAAAGGGTTTTGAGGTCCCTTCCAGCCCAAACCAGTCTGGGATTTTGGGATTCTGTGATTATGGCTGGTTGGGCACATGGACTCGGGGCTTTTTACTGCTGTTCCCCTCCCTGGGTGAAGCTGGAAAGACACAGGGAAGTTTTTAGTTCATGGGTGGAACAGAGCAAAGGTCTCTTTTTCTGGTCAGAAACACCCAACTAATGCCCTAATGAGGCCATAAAGGTGGTGGTTTGGGGTCTGAATTGTCTGCCCATGATCCCACTGATCCCTTGCCAATATTTCCTAGAAGTTGACTTCAGCCCTTCAGAAACACAGGAATTTGGAAATTTAGTCCTATTCTGTCACTCCTGTCACCTCTGGGAACTTTTCCTCTCCCAGACACCCCGCTGCCCCTCCAAGTCCCACTGTGCCAGGACATGCCACCAGCTCACAGATCATTTCGGATCATTTTGGGGAAGAATTGACGCTAAAAACCCAATGCCCTGTTGCAATGTGTTGGGGTTTGGGGCAAAAACTGGGCTCGTGGGATAGGACAGGGTGAGACCCACCCCATAGCGTTGTCCCCCCAGGGCTGGTGCTGTGCTGGGACATTTTGGGGAGCTGGGATTCCTATGGGGACCATTCCTTCTAGCTGCTGACACCCTGTGGCTGTCGGGAAGAAATGCAGAGACTTTCATTCAAGGGTTGGGCGAACTTGTGTTTGAAAAACGTGCTTCCAGGAAAAAAAAAAAAAAAAAAAAGCAAAAAAAAAAAAGCGACTGTTCTCAGGGGTAAAAAAAAAAAAATAAATAAATGAAGGGAGAAACAGATTCCCCAGACTCTTCCCAGCTGTGTTTTTAGTGCTACCGCAAGGGACAAAGGTGGCAGCTGGCTGGCTGGCAGCCTGCTTGTGGCTGTCTCCACTCTGCTCCCAGGGCCATGGGGTGAGGGCGAGCAGCTTTGAAGGGCTCCGAGGCTGGGGGACGGAAAGGGAAAGGCGATGTAGGGCAGAGATGTAGGCCACGGCCACCAAAATAACTCCTTTAAGTCTCTCTTCCCCCCCCTCGGTGTCCCTCCTCTCGTCGTTTGACTGCCACCCGTGCCAAGCTGCTTCGGCACGGAATAATATTTTCCCCTCTGTATTTTCTTCCCCGACTGCCAAGAGATCTGTGTACAAACACAAGTTTCTCCCTTTTCTTAGCGCTCGTCTATTCCTCCTCCAAGAGAGCCTGACAAAAGTGGAGCAAAAATAATAATAAAAAAAAAAAGAAGGAGAGGCACGTTCATCCCTGCTCCGCTCCGACACGCACAAAGGGCTGGGAGGGAGCTGTTGGCCCAGGACAAAATTGGCAGGGTAATAAGTTTTCTCGTCGGCCTTTGAAGATGAGAGAAGAAGCAGTCGATTGTCATAGGGAGAGCGAGCGCGTCCCTTTAAACCACAAAGCCTTCAAAGATAGCCTGGAGTCCCAAAAATAAAGGCTTCACACTGCCTTCCTCTGTCAGTCCTGGACAGAAATAGTAGCCTAGTGGGAACCATTAGGGCCGTGATGAGAGGAGCCAGTCTGCTCCGATGAATGCGGAGAGCCCGAAGGGTGCTCCCGGGGCAGCTGCTCGGGCTCTGGTCTCCATCACCCGGACCAACAGGGCTTGTGGAGGCGAGCCCCGTGATGGGAAATTTGGCTTTTGCCTCCTGGTATGGAAATGAGGCACCTGCACCGAGGCAGGATTGCTCCCCGTGGCCCATTTTGTCTCCCGGCCTTTGTCTTGATCTGTTCTGAACGTCCCAAGGAGAGCCAGGGGGGGCTCAGGCTGAGTTCAGGGCTATCAATGATGCCGATGTCCCCCGAGGCCCCGACGTGGGGTTTTATGGCACATCCATCTCCGCGTGATGGAGCTGTGCCTTCTGCATCCTTTGTGGAGGTGTCGCCCCCTCTTTGGGACAGCTGGTGGCCCGCTTTCGTCGGCGTAAAATTCATTCAGAGTGCTAAAATACAGTGCACGGTGCAGGACCCAGATAATAATAATAAAAAAAAAAAGAGCAGGATTTAACCACCAGTTCATGAGGGATGCTAGTTTCTGTGGGATGTCCTGCCCCATGGCTCTGGGGCTGCTGTGGGGACAGGGGGTGGCTTTGGGGACAGTGGGTGGCAGCGGGACAGCCACTGCAGCTGCGCCATCTGCTGCACATGCCGAGAAGCTTCGGCCAGAAAGGAGTATTTTGGGCTGGAAGTGACTAAAAATAATTGGCAGCCCGTCCCCAGTTTCTTCGCTCCCCTTCTTTCGAACTGGATGTGCAGGCTCATCCCATGGACCAAGGAAACTTTGCGTGTAGCTTGGTAAGGACTTGTTAGGCAGATATTGAAATGCCCTTTTTTATCTTTTTTTTTCATTTTTTTTTTCCATTTCTGTCCTATGAGAGAGATCTGGAGAGAGAGAAAAACAAATGAGCTTCATGCACTCATGAATGTGGTGTCCCAAGGATCATCTGTGATATGGTCATTGTGATTGTGACCATTGTGACAAGAGCATCGGGACACTGTGAAGTACCCTCAAGGGAAGGTGAAGATCTCCAAACCCGAGTTTGCCACATTTTGTTTCAGTTTTGTAAAATTAATCCAAGCTCACCTCAACAAACCCTTGGAAATAAAGAAGGTTTTCCCCCAAAAGGAGACCAGGCTTCAGGAAAGGGTGAGCAAATGATAATTCCAGTCAGGGATCTGTTTCCAAGCAAATCCTCATTTTTTCTGGTGTTTCAAGCTGTTGTTTGGACGAAGATCATTGTGTGCCTTGAAATGCACGGGGTTTTGCATATTAAAACCTCCCCAACTTAGAATTTCACTAAGTAACCCCTTGAACTTTGGGGATATGAAAATAGAGCACTAACACGCCCTGGCAAGACTTCAAGGGAAAGCAGTTGCTCCTTCTTTGGAGGTTTGAGGTCCTGTTTCTTTTCTTGCAGTCTCCAGTCTGCATTAGCTCCTCCGGAGTCCCCGCTGCTACTTCTGGGGTAAATCTGGGGTAACCTCGTTGAATTACTCCAGCACAAAGCTGGAACTGATCATGGAAGTAACTGGTTGCTCTTTGGAGTGATTTTGCTGAATCCGAGCCATCGTTTTAACGAAGAATTATGATTTTTCAACAACTGTGCTTTTACATCCCTCATATTACCGAGCCACTATCTGCGCCAGGGAGATGCTCTGGAGGAAGGTGTAAGGACCTGGTGAGCCCTGTGCTGGAGCTGGGGACAGGAGAGGGAAGGATGCAGCCCCTCGGAGGCTTTTCCAGCCTTGGCTGGGACCGTGCTCGAGACAACCTGAGCAAGGACAAAGCCAGCAGAGCCATGTGAACTGCGGGGAAGAGCAGCAGGGATGAAAGCAGCAGTAATTATACATCTCAATACCCTCCCTCCCAGGCAGCGCCGTGCAGGTATATCTGATCCCTGGCTCTTTTGTGTGGTGACGGGCACTCGCTGCATTGATGCTGAACTCCTGACCTTGCCTTGCCTTGTGCTGCAACCTCCTGTCGGAACGGCTTCGGGTAGAGTTTCATTGCCCGGGTTACCTCGAGGTCCCAGAGGAAAGTGATCCCTCCTCTCCCAGGAGTTGCACCCTCCTGCTGACTCCCCCAAGCCCGTGGGACGTAGATGAGGGCTATGGGGACGTGAGAGGATCGTGTCCCGGCTCTTCTTCCATCCCCTTCCCATCACTGAAAGAGCAGATGAGATTTCTGTACGCTCCTGCCTTGCTTGACATGCTCAAGGTAGTGAGGAAGGATCCAGCTTGGGCTCTCTGGGGTCCTGAGACACAGCAGTGTGGTCAGCGCTTTTGGGAATCCATCCTTTGTTTTTTCCCAAATTCTTCTATTGAAACATCCAACTGTAGTAATGATATCTGGGGCACAGTTTCTACTCTGCAAGGAAAACACCACCCAGGCTCTGTGCACTGTGTCACCCAGAGGTTTTGGGGCAGGATATGTAAGTGGCAAGCTCCAGACCTCCAGGACTTCATAGGGCAACTGCATATGGGGTGGTCTTTGTAGGGCTCAGACATCTTAATCTCTTACATTAGAAGAAAAGTAACTAGCTGTCTCGCCTCAGACAAGACTGATACTTTAAAAAATTAAATAAAGGACCTGGGCGATGACATCGTTTTGGGCCAGGACAAATTCTTGTGGTCCATCACATCACCTAACCATCTTAGAGGTGAGCATGGAGCTGTGGGGCACCAAGGGAGCTGCAGATGTGTGGGCTGGTAGAGGCCTGGAGCACGTCTCACTGCCTCTGCTCAGGCTTCTCTGCTGGGATGTGGTCCTTGTGCTTCACTTGGCTGTGAGCATCCCTAGAGACTGGTCCCTTGGGGCTCCCTTTCTGCTCAGGTTTCTTAGGCTTTCTTCATTACATTTCCTATCTCATCTGCAGTTCCTCTGGGTGAGAGGTTTTTGGACCAGCTCAATGCCATGGGTCATGTTAGGCTCACGAAAACCCTTCTGACTCCTTCCATGGGGCAGCCCAACCTGCTCAAGAGCTCGCTGTAGCATCTGAATCCCAAATCAGCAATCAGGCCCCAACCTGAATGGCTCAGGCAGCCTTCCTCCTCCCCCAGGGATCCCCTGCTTCCATCCAAGTGGAATAATATGTCAGCACTTGCCTGCTAAATCCCTCCGACTCTCTTAATTCTCTCTTGATTGCGCCTTATGCCTTGCCCTTGGTGCTGTACAGCTCCTTTAGGACAGCTCCCAGCAGACCTCCTAATCCTTTTAAGTGCACACAGAGGGCTCCGTTTCCTCCACGGGGTGGGCAGCTTTGCCCCCGTATCCCTGTGCTGATGCTCTGCAGAGGATGAGGTGTGCCTGGCTGGAAGGAAGGCGCTCCCTGCCTTCCTCAGAGGCTGCATTTCCTTGCAGGTTTCCATTTACCCTTGTTAAAAATGTGCCAACTTTGACATTATTTTAAAATTTGTCTCTTAGATAATTCAATCCAGGGCTTTGAATACGCATTTGTCTCACTCTGATTGATGAGCAAGGGATCCCCGTGATTAAGGGTCTGGCGATACACGCTGCTATCGCAGGTAATAATTACTTGACTTACACAATACTTCTCATTTGAAGATTTCCAATACCAATCGATTTTTTGCCTCTCTCCAGCCCTGTCTAGAGGAGTCCGTGGGAATGGGCTGAGAGCCGTGGTTGTGTGATCGCTCTCTCCCCTCTGTAACCCTCTGAGCTGAGGGCTGTGCAGTGATGCACGCTGGTTTGGTGGCATCTTTTGGGGTCTCCTCTTCGTATCTCAACAGCTTCCATTTGCCATTTCCTTTAATCGTGGAAGCTGTCCCTTAAAAATCATCCAATCCATAGGTGGCTCGATGAAAAATGTGGAGAGCAAAGCAGTGGCTGGGAACACCTTGCAGACTGAAGGTGAGTCCAGCCACGCGATGTGCTGCTTTGGTAGGACCAAGAATTTTGTAGTGGTCTTGGAAGATGAAACGAGTAGCAAATGGCTTTGGGTCACTAACGAGGGGCTGGCTGATGGGAGATGAGAGGAAGCCTTGGGAAGAAGAAGGTGTCCATGCTGAGGACAGCCTGAGCAGAGACATGTCCTGTGGTCAGATGTCAGAGATGAGAGAAGAGGAACTGGTGGTGGGTCGGCACATGAGAGCAGCTTTCAGTGGAGGGTCGGCGCTCCAGGACAGGGCTGGATCATTCCTCTGGCAGGTTCCTGAAAAGGGAGAAAGGGACAACGTGGAGCTTTGTCCCCAGATGGTGCTTCCCTCTTATCTGAGGCAGTACTGGAAGATAAGCTTTCACTCTTTCTCTCTCTTTTCCCCCCTTTTTGTTTTTCTCCTGTGGATAAACATAGATTATGAAGGTTAGAAAGGCTTCAAGGGCTGTGTTTTTTATCTGATATTAAGTTCTTAATAGGTCACCTTGGCATTGAGAAGCCCAGGAGCTGAAACAGGCAGCAATTGAATCACGATAACCTTTGCAGAGCACAACCTGGTCGTGGGTCTGGGGCCCAGAGATATGTGGGGCCTCATTATCTCGACCTTAGCCCCGGGGATGTCAACCAACAAAAAGAACCGGACAGAGAGGCTGGGCTGGCTGATTTCCTCGGGGAGATTCTCTTTCAGGGTCCCTTTTCCCCTTTGCTTCAGAGATAACAACCCCTGGCAGGGATTGTTCCCAAACTGCTGCTCTGTCCGTTCACCCTGAGTCCCCTTTGTCCCAAAGGAGAGAGCAAAGAGCTCTGGCCCCTGGGTTTCTCAGCTTTTAGTTATTCACTCCCAGCCTGTCAGCCCATTTCTCTGCCTTTTCTTTGCAATTTAGCACCAGTGCCTGACGCAAACATCACCGCAAGACCAGAAAACCTGACTCGAGCAGAGAGATAATCTCCGGGATAAGATTTTTGATCTGCATGGTTTGGTGAAAGTGGTGAAAGTGCCCAAATCCTCGGCAAAACAGGAGCTTCGGTCTGCCTCTGATATGCCCTAAAGGGAAATTGCACATCTTCACATCACCCCGGGACCCCTTGCTGCTGACCAAGACCCCCTAAAGCACACCCTAAATCCATGCCGATGGATTTAGGATGGGCAGGGTGTCACCGTGTGCCTCTGTGCCCCCACCTCCTCGAATATTTCCCCCCCCGTGGCACGGTGCTGTGATGAATTTTGCCGTTCTGTGCCTGCTTTTGGTGCTCTCCTGCCAATGTACCCATGAAAGTGCCCGGGTCCCTGTGTTTGTGCATTCCTCCCATTGCCAAAGGGCAGCTGGCTGCCTCTCAAGGCAGATGGAGTCATGAGGATCCGTGGGTGTCTCAGAGCTCGCCCCGTCTGGCCGCAGTCAAAGAGCCCTTTGTGGAGCTGCTCTGCAGCCCCCCGCGGGGCTCCCAGCCCTCTGGGTCACCGCGTTCCTGGCACGGCAGGATGAGCTCATCTCTGGTCTCTCAGCCCCATGAACGGACCCTTATAAAGGACTTGTATCCCTCAGCCAGCCCCTGCTGCCGTCCGTCTGTCCTCAGAGCGTCCCGTAC